GCGTTCTTGCTCATTTTGCTTCCGAAAAACATGCAAAACGGGACGGAAAACATGAAATTTTGCAATAATCTTGCGCCACCCTTGCACAAAACGACAATAATTTTTCTAATTTTATAGATAACAGAAGACAGAAGTGTTTTTTCTACATAACTCCCCCTTGACTTTAAAGCTGGACCCGCCCGTGTGGATAGAGCATTAAAGTACTCATTTTGCTCTATAAAATGGCAATTGAAATGTTTTTTTGTTTTTTCACGTGAAGCGATGTTTCCAAATTAAAATTTGCTCTGACACTTTAGCCAAAATTAGACTACAATATTACTATTTCATAAAAAGTGGTCTTTCAAAGAAGTCAACTTCTGTTAAGAATGAATAGTGTACACATTAAAAGATATTTAATTGTACCTTATTTGAATTTGTCTTTCTAGAGAAGCCCAAGACTGTGTTCAAAATACAGCCTCATTGTCTTTCCAGTGTTTAACTTACCTTTAACTCTTTAAGTAATTTAAACAAGGCAATTCAATTGGCAATTTGTAAAATCAGGCAAGACATGGTTTTTTTGCAAAAAAATCATATATTTTTTCATTGAAAGATGTCTGATAGCTTATGATTTCAAATTTTGTTTTCTTAGAAAGGCCCGATTTTCGGTCGACGTATCCGAGATTGCCAACTTTTAGCAAAAACCTGTAGAGCCAATTTAATGAAAAAGGTCAGATTGTTTCCATTGGTTAGAGAATTAAACTACTTATTTTTTTCTGCATTTAATCCAATTGCAAAAATTGCACAAAGAGAAAATTGCCATTGATGAATGTTGTCCTGTTTACCAAAAAAACATTCTTCTGTTGAAAAGATCAGTTTCTAACATTTGATTATTTGACTAAATCATATTTGCTTAACAGATTTGACTTCTGATCTAGAACTATTCAACTATTAAATTCAGCGGGTGTATTCGGCTTATCAAATAATCGAATTAAAAACAATCAATAACAGTTATCTGCCTTTGAAAAAGCTGAAATACTTCAAAATGGCGTAAATTTTTGAAAAAGTGTTTTCCAAACCATTAACCAGCAATCAACTTTCTCAGATTTCAAATTAGAAACCCAACTTTCAAGATCACCTTTGACCTGAAATATTAAAATATTTCAACATTTTATCGTTCAATCTTCACGGTAAAACATTTTGAAAAAATGCTACCAATAGCAAGCCTTGGCCGGTCTCAATTCTCGAAGAAACTCCTTCTGCAGAAAACGGCTATAAAAAGTGACCAACCATGGTATATGACTATTGCCATTAGTGTTGTAACTAATAATTATGTTAGCTAGTTAACCTTGTAGAAGTGTCCTAAAATTTTTACTGAAGAACTTTAATTAAAATCTTCAATAAGGAAAACGCGGAACGGAACAAAGGACAATCTACTGCAGGCAGCGAATTGGAATCTACCAACCAGTGGCGCACATGGATGGTATTGGCAGGTGTTCTTCAAATGGTAAGTGATCAATTACTTTGCTGGTTTACTTAGTATTTTCACTTAGTCTGGTGTGGATACATTATTTTTCCCATTTTTTTTCGTTATATTAAGTGCTGGCCCAAATTTGAGTAAAACGTTGTAAATTATTGACCAAAGACTCACTGGCGTCATAGTAGACTTGAAACTGGAAGCATCAAATTTCGGGGGCTTTTCTCTTGCTAATTGATCGAAAATTTGGAAACGAATTTTTAGTTTGCGAAGAACGATTGCGTATAATTCTTCATTTAAATTATTTCTTGTATATTAATGTTTCGAAGACTTGCCAACTCGCATATTGCAATGCATCGAAATGGGAAAGTAATTTTCACTTTGCCAAAATTTGGTAGCGTATATTTTTTTATCTAAAAGTGCCCCCCCCCCATGTATATTAATATGTGTTAAGCACTTGGAAACTCGAATACCACAATGCTTAGAGTCTTATTTTCTTGCTCGCAACCGGGGCGTCGCCCAAAACATGCCAAGCATCCGTTTTTCCCTCATTGATCATAAAATGGGAAACTAATTTTCAGTTTAC